GATTCGGAAGCAGATGCTTTATCCATTGTAAATGAAGTTCGTTTTTTGGCGGCTGCATCGCACCCGAACATTGTCGCACTCCTGGGCACCTATTGCGCACGAGGAAAGCGTGGAAAGACTTCATGGTTGCTGGCGCTGGAGTTTTGCAATCGGGGGCCTTTGTTCAACTATGTCTCGACTCAAGGGCATTTTGATTTGATCCATGGCCAAATCGTCTCAGCAGGTGTATTGAGTGCCACTGCGTATTTGCACGCCCAACAGATTTTGCACCGGGACATCCGTCCGCAGAACATCTTGTTGGATGATTCCACAGGCGAGATGAGGCAAGGAATCCGTGTGACTGACTGGACCGTGCATTGGAACAAGAAACAAGATTAAGATAGATTAAGTGTGGCCATCGCAATTAGGTTGGTTGCAATTGCTATTTGGTTGGAGGCGATCGCTATTAGGTTGGAGGCAATCGCTAGTAGGTTCGAGGCCATGACTAGTAGGTTGGAGGCCATCGCTAGTAGGTTGGAGGCCATCGCAAGTAGGGTGGAGGCATCGCGCGTAGGTTGGAGGCCATCGCAATTAGGTCGGAGGCCATTGCTATTAGGTTGGAGGCCATCGCTATTAGGTTGGAGGCCATTGCTATTAGGTTGGAGGCCATCGCCATTAGGTTGGAGGCCATCGCTATACTAGGTTGGAGGCCATCGCTATTTGTTAGGTTGGAGGCCATCGCTATTGGGTTGGAGTCCATCGCTATTAGGTTGGAGGCTATCGCTGTTAGGTTGGAGGCCACCGCAATTAGGTTGGAGGCCGTCGCTAGCAGTTTGGAGGTCATCAGGTTGGAGGGCATCGCTAGTAGGTTGGAGGCCATCGCTAGTAGGTTGGAGGCCATCGCTATGAGGTTGGAGTCCATCGCTATGAGGTTGGAGGCCATCGCTTCTAGGTTGGAGTCCATCGATATTAGGTTGGAGGCCATCGCTATTAGGATGGAGTCCATCGCTTTTAGGTTGGAGACCATTTCCTTGAATCCCTTTTTACCCGTTTTTAGTACCGTTTTTTCTTTGCTATCCACTCTTTCAAACCGTTTCATTTTTATAAGAGGCCTTGCTAGTATTGTGTTGATTGTTGGACCTGTCCCGAGGTAGCTTCGATATGATAAGACTACTGATCAATAAGACTTTTCTAGACATCGTGTGTTTGTTTTAGCAGAGCTTAGAAGCTTGCAGCGTTTACTCTCAAGTGTGCTTGGATTATTGAAATCATATCTATCCACTGTTGGAACGTCAGAGGCAATGTCTGAAACAGTTGTTGCTCAATCTGTGCTTTTGTAGCAAGCGGTAACAACATGGAAACAAGGTCTGGTTGAAAGGTGCTCATTTCAGTTGTTTCTTTATCTTTTTGCGTGCCATAGGCGATGGTCGTGACTGTAAGACTGCCATAGTCGATGGTTCCAGACTCACTTCTACCGTTCTTACATTCCTGCTTGTGGAATTATTGTTATTTGCTCGAGGCGATTTCACAAAGCTACTGTAGCAAGCGCATCGCTATTAGGAACAGGTGTCGCTACTAATAGCTGAAATAACAAGAAACTACTAGGTTGGAGGCCTTCGCTACTGGTTGGAGGCCATCGCTATCTTAGGTTGGAGGCCTTTGCTACTAGGTTGGAGGCCATCGCTATATTGGGTTGGAGGCCATCGCTATCAGGTTGGAGGCCATCGCTATACTAGGTTGGAGGCCAACGCTATTAGGTTGGAGGCCATCGCTATCAGGTTGGAGGCCATTGCAATTATGTTGGAGGCCATCGCTATTGGGTTGGAGGCCATCGCTATTAAAGGTTAGAGGCCAGCGCTATTAGGTTGGAGGCCATCGCTATTAGATTGGAAGCCATCGCTATTAGGTTGGAGGCCATCACTATTAGGTTGGAGGCCATCGCACTATTAGGTTGGAGGCCATCGCACTCTTAGGTTGGAGGCCATCGCACTCTTAGGTTGGAGGCCATCCCTATTAGGTTGGAGGCCATCGCTATGCCACGTCCAGCTTTGAAGCAACATTTGCGTCCAGCTTTGGACATCTCAGCTGTGGTTTGGACATTTGAGGCCGGTCTTGGCCAATTTTGGGCGAGCTGCGCTTGTGGAGGTGGAAGCGTTTCGACCCAACAGCTACTGCGCACCTGAGATTTTGGATTCCCGTCTAGGGAAACCAGGCCCCCATAGTGACGTCTTTAGCAACTTGGCCAGTTCGGTGCAGTTTCGTCATTTTTTTGAACCAAACACAAACACCAAAGCGAAGACATATGAAGGCACAAAGTATATTTTGGACAAAGCTTAATAGATGCTTGTTCATATCAATGCCTTTCAATGAAGAGAGGTTCAATACGAATAAGGCAGAAACCACGGTAGATTTCAAACTTGGCGATCCAATCGATTCCGTTGATTCCTTTTTTCCATTCTGAGGCGTTGGCGCTTCCATGTTATTCCTTTTCACTGGGTTGGAACGATTTGGCGAAGTGGCCAGTGTCTCAATCTTAGAGTCTTAGACCTGAGAGGACTTGAGAAGGATATGCGAACTCGTTTAAACATGGAACGAAAGCAATTCTTCTTGCGCACAGGAAAGGAAGCATTGTCGTTCTTTGCATTTCAACACGTGTCCTTTTTTTCCTCTCAAGTTTCTGTGTCGGGTAGAGGAGAGGTAGGCAAGGTACGGTAGACCTGGTCCTAAGGTAAGATAGGCTAGTAGAAAGAAGCAACAAGTCGAAATCTGAATAAACAAGGGTATTCTATGGTATGTTCAGCTGAAATGAGCAGAACTGAGATGAACAACACATTCATTGACATTTGCGGCAAAGACACAAAACAAAAGCAACATAAAAGCAAGGAACATGACATAAATAAATAAACAAATATGAAAAAACTATAAATAACACATAGAATAAATGCATGATGCAAAAAACATTTTCTTGAAGCAAAGATGAGAGATGTTTCCTTGAAGACCCACATTCCGAAACAGAGATTTTGGAACGGAACGATTTTCAGCTCCTTTCTGGTTTGCATGTTATATATCATGTTTTGTCATTGTAAATTCTATTGCATACCTTTTTTCTTCCCTTTATTACTGTTCTTTTTTGTTTTCTTTGCTGGTTCCTTTTACTTCCTTTGTTTTTTTCCTCATGACACATTATCCTTGCTTTGGACACTGCATGTGTCCACCAAACGCTATGTACAAACTACAGCATGGTGGCCCTTGTTCGCCCGCGCGGACGCAGGTTACGTGGCAACCATCGCTCACGGGCAATGCTAGCGTTGATGAGATTGCTTCCAGCAAGCTGACGGCCGGCTTAGCCACTCAAACGAATTTAGGCATTCTGCAAGCCCGTCCTCGCTACTAGGGTGGAGGCCATCGTTTGTCTTCTGATTTTATGGGAACTTGAGGGGCAGAAGCAAAGCACCGCCACAATATGCCACAATCCTCGATGATCTGTCTGACCAAAATTCCTTGCGTCACTCAAGATGTAGTCGTTTGCAAGTGGTGGCGGAGGTTTCCGTAAGAAGTTGGAGGTAACAGCTCAGGTAACATCCCTTTTTGGACTTGAGCTCAGGTCAGGGTGTTGCCTCAACCCCAAGGAGAACATAGGAGATCATAGGAGAACCCCGATCTACAGTTTTTGGGCACCTATGGCACCCCTGTGGCGGACAGACATGTTGTGACGCGGACTTCACATGTTTGGTCGACGTTTCAATCCTCCAATGCTAGTAGGTTGGAGGCCATCGCTACTAGGTCTTCCGGCCATCGCTATTAGGAGCAAGGACGCTGCTAGGGGCTCCTGGCCTTACTATGAACAAGAAGCTACTAGGGGCTTCTGGCATCGCTACTAGGAGCAAGGACGCTAGTAGGTCGGAGGCCGGTTTCTTTCCCCTCCGATGCTCCAAGGCCGATTTTCTCCTCCGCCTGTTGGCTCACAACGGTCGCAAACGCCCATCAGCAGCTGAGGCGCGTTTTTGCCGCATCGACGCGGGTTGTCCCCCCGAGCTCCGACAAGAAGGGCGGTTGTCCCCCCCAACTGCGGTGGTTCGCCTCTGAAGGCCTTTCACTCGGATTTGTTTTTTCACATGACGCTCCAAATTCTCGAATGGAGCGAGTTGGTTTTTCAGTCGAAGGTTGAGCTTGGTACTTCCTGAATTCACAGGACTTACCGTCATTCCGTCATCACGGCTTGGCTTGGCGAGTTCAAGATTTCATGATCCTACATGAAGGCTTATGATGGTCGCATGATAGCCTTTGACATGTTTGGACATATCATGGCCATGGCTATAGCACCGTCAATCCTCAGCCTTTGTAACCAATCTAAGTAGGCGCTTTTCTGAAACACCTTTCCAGAAAAGACCCCGTTAGCCAAGAAAAAACAGAGTCAGGCCAAGAGAAAGAATGCCATTCAAAAGCATCCGTCTTCTCATTCTTTTTTTGCTTTCGAGCAAGAAACAATCATGCTTTTTGAATATATTTTTCTAAATACTGGTCGTTTCTTTTATATTTTTCCATATTCTTTACTTCTTAACAGAACCTTTTGATGCGTCCTTGGAGAACCGAGGCCTGCAAGTTATTAGTGGTGGACGCTCCAGAAGGAGTGCAGGAAAGTCTGGTCGTTGTGAAAGCGATGGCAGCCTTGCCTGTAGGCACGGGCGCCCCCTTTTTTTTTCTGTTCACACAGCTCGCGGTAGTATGGGGGCAACCCATCGCTGGATTTCACACAGTGCCAGTGATGCCATTGGCACGTGATGCGCGCGTGATGCGAGATGGCGACATGAGATGTTCCAGGATCCGAACCCAGTCCGGACCCAACTTCTGAAGCAAAGCAAACCGCACCGTGGGTTGAAAAGAACGAACATAGAAATGCAAGCTCGGGATTTGATGAATGCTGGTTTGGTGCGCAGCTCGGCAGGCAAGGAGAAAGCTATTATGCCCATGATCTCTGAGAATTTCTTCGAAGATGCGGATGAAGAAGGCGAAAAGGGTCTTCACCGGGTGCCGGTTTTGGACGGCGAACGAGGATTGGATGGGAGTTAATGATCTCTTGCTACTCGTACCACACTGTAACGCCGGATGGCCGTCTGAATAAAAAAAGGGCACTGCACATGTGCACATGCATCTGTATGATGTGTTGGGGGGTTGGAGAGTCTGCTAGCTTGGAGCCCCTAGCGGCCCTAGCCGCTCTCAGCTTGGAGGCCGCAGACTCGAAGAAGGAGACAGCCGCCGACTCGAAGGTGCACGACGTCGTCTCGTGCGCGCGCGCGTCGCGGGGGGCGGGGGGCGCAGAAGAACCCTAAACAGCCAGAGCCCCACTACTTCGGGTCCTTTTTGGTTTCATACTGAGTGCACTACTCCTAGTAAGGAATAACCCATGGCTTCCAGTTTTCAAGGTGAAACTGGGTTGACTTAAAACCTGAGGTGACTTGGAACGCATGAACGTAGTTCCATGCGACGTGGGGAGCGTCTTCGACTTGGGGTGACTTACAGCCACTACTCGGGCCGAAGGAAAGGAAAGAAAGGGAGCAAAGAACATGTTCTAAAGGAAGAACCAAGTCAAACGAACAACATGAAAGCAACGGAAAAAGATCGTTGATCATGTGTGCTCAAAGAGTTTCACAGAGTCTCTTTGCTTTTAAATGATTTCAGCGTAGAGTCCAATCTTGTCTGGAGGCACTCATGGGTATGCTCCTCAACCCTCAGGAGAATCTGGATGATCGCACTCAGAAGCATAAACTAACTGTTAACAATCACGGCTTCAGGTGTGGAGTTGTGGACTTCGAACATGTTAAGTGTACTAAACAGCTCCATTTTCTTCCGTGTGTTGGACCTTTTTCCGCATTTCAAAGGACCTGGCTATGCAAAGCTTCCTCCAGGCCTTTCTGACTGTCCAGTTGAAAAGTTGTTTGAGGTCGTTTCGAGAATCCCTGAACATCTTTTGGCTACACCTGAAATGACACTTGCGAACATCGGCGACGCGCGGGACAAACGAACCTGAAAACGCACCTCTTCAGGAACCGCTCCTTCACTCATTGTGCCTCCCAGCTCGCCTCCAGCGACACCCAGTTCGGGGCCTTAGGTCCGACCGTGCCAGGCCGGGAGGACGCACGGCGCTTCGCCGTGGTCGACGTCGTTGCCGTCTCCAACTGGGCACAGAAAGCAACCTAGCCAGGAACCCCTAATAGCAACCTGTTGGCAGGTCATAGACTCTACTAACCATAACATGACCTGCCACTTCCAGCCTGCCACTCCAACCATTCCAGCCTGTCCTCCACCTGTCCTCTTCGTAACCAATAGGCCTCGTCTAGAAAGCGTTCTGAACGCACCGGCCCTCTCACTCACGAGAGAACGGCCTCAGTCCACCGTCGGGTGTCAAACAGGCGTTGTGGTCGCTGTGAAAAAGAGACAACCCCCGCGACTCAGCTATCCCGACATGGTGGTCGTCATCAGAATACAGGGTATATGATGCACCACCTCTTTTTCACGGCGAAACGTATGGTTTTGAGCACATGGGAATGCTTTGCAGTTAGCACATGTCCAAACAGGACAACGACAGAATTGCAAGCAGCTTGCTTCCATCCAACACATACACCTGACCATGGAGCACCTTTGCAAAGACTCAGCATGCGCGAACATCATTGAAATACGTTCACGCAAATCCATGCCCGAGACAACCATTCAAACATGTCTCCTCAACCTTCTCCCTAGTGGCCCTGCAAACCCACATTGACCAAGCTGAGAACTCACACTGCATCCCTGCAAGAAACCTCCCGTCACCGTCGGTTGACTCGGCCGGTTTTATGAACTTTCACAGAGCAGGGCACTGGTGACTTGTGACTTCGTGGTAATTGAGGGTAAGTTGAGTCCAAAACCTTCTGCGAGCATAGAAGCAAAGATTTTCTGTACTTGGAGTGATCCCCACCCTGAAAAGCGACTTGGGAAGAAGGCAGTGCACATGTGTTGGCAAGAGTATCCTGACAAACGCTACCTGACACATGCACTGGCACAATGCTCCCGACATTTTTTCTGGCATAAATTTTGGTATTGTCTTTAATTTGACACATAAAGGCTGGGAAATGTTCTGGAATGTGTTCTGACTTCCTTTCGGGCATGTGTTCTGACAACTGTCCGGCCATCAAATCTGACATGTTTGTTGACACTTCTTCTGGCATGTGCTTCTGACACGTGCTCTCCGATGGCCGCCATGTGTTCTGACATGTAATTATTGTGACACATGGTCCGAACCTGCATGTGTTGCAAGATGTGTTTTGGCATATGTTCCGACATATGTTCTGACAAGTGTTTTGTCACCTATTCTGACACCTGTTCTGACGATGTTTCACAGGTGTTCCGATGTTTGTTCTAGCACGTCATGTGTACTGGCATCACGTATGGCATGTCTTCGGACATGTTTTCTGGTTTTGTTCTGACCATTGCTTTGATATATGTTTGGCACTAGTCCTCACCTGAGCTGTGGGGATCTAGAACAAGCAGGCGGTGTGAAGATGGATCCTAGGTCTTCTTTCTTTCTGATTTTAAGACGCTTTGACTTGCAACGGTTCCGTTTCCTAGACTGCCTAGCATGTGAAGATGGGTCTCTCCACATCCGAGGTCCGAGAAAGAGCCGTTCCTTTCTGAGCTCGCGTCTGAGAGGATTGCACGGGACGCGAGATGATCCAGCAGCTGCCGGCTGCCAGTCCACCGGGTTTTAGCAGTTTTCGGATCTTCAGCAGCACTTCTCAGCTGCAAGTTGCACGGCTTTGGATTTTCAACCACAACGTTCAATTCTTCTCCTCATGCCCCGATCATTTGGTAAGATGGCAATGCTCAGTTCACGTACATCCAATCTTGTAGACATATGGCGAAACATATCTACATCATTCACCATGCAATTTGTTGTTTTTTTTTTGCAAAGCAGATGTGGGCATTAGTGGATCTCCGAAGGAGTTCCACGGAATCAGGAGAGTCAACCCTCCAGGGAACCCGGGCACTATACAAACGGCTCATGACAAAGAGATCGTACACTTGTGTCGATCTGAATGATTTCAATCTGGAGATTTGACGTTCCCTGCGGATTTTTGGAAGTGTGGAAGACAAGTAGACATGGAGACGTGATCCGCGTCGTTTTGCCCATCAACACGTGATTAAATCGGTCTGGAACTGGTGGTTTTACTCGGTTAGCATCGAATTCATGGGCTGCTTTCCTAACAGAGCAATTCAGTCATCATGTCCACTGTATTTGCCACTGCAGTTGCCAACTCGGATGCTTGGCTTGCTGCTCTTTACATAGGTTGAAGTCTTCTTAAATGATACGGGAAGAAAGGGAAACAGAAAGGTCTAAAAAAGCAAAGAACACACACACAAGGAAGAAGTAAAAGTAAAGATGATTTGGGGCCTATGTGATTTGTTTTTGGCGGGGTTACCATGGGTTAGACTGGTGTCTCCAGAATTGGGCTTTGTTTTATGTTCGACATTGAGCACTCTAGCAGCTCGAGCATCCCAGATTGGACTTCTTGTTCAATGTTCTTCGTCTTCTTCAATGGCAGTTTTACCTTGGTTTGTTTTCTTCCTCACTCCATGAGTCACTTGTTTCTTATGTTTTTGCACCGTCTCTCCGGATCACATCTCACGATTTTCTGTTTTGGTCCCTTGGGCCAGAACTCAACGTGCTAGTTGTCTTCCAGATCGAAGGCGCCTCTGGAGTTTGAGGGAGGGAGGATCTATGAGGAGCGCAGCCCAGTCTACAGCCAACATCGCGCACATTCTTTAGACAGGCTTGGGAATCGAACGAAGGCTTTGCCCGTGCTTCGACCAGCGCATGCGACTCGACTCAGCTCCCCGCCTCAAACGGTGCACTGATTGCCGTTCTGTCCTCTTTATTTCAGCGGCAAGGTGCGGAGGTTGGTGTTTGCCCACTCAACTGAAGTCTTTAAGCAAGCTAAGGGTAAAAGAGTGCTTTCCGCATGCATCGTTTACAAGATTTGACCATTCATACATCAAACAGATCAAACGGGTTTCAGTCGAAGATGCGGACAACTCTTGACGGTCAACCTAAAAGCAATGGCCTTCCTAATAGCGATGGCCTCCAACCTACTATACCGTCCTTGCTCCTAGTAGCGATGCCAGGAGCCCCTAGTAGCGTCCTTGCTCCTATTAGCGATGGCCTCCAACCTACTAGCACATTCATTGGAGTCCTTGATGCCGTACGCACCCAGGACGATATTTACACCCCAAGACCATCTTCGACGCCTTCAAAGGCGTCCGTGTCAGATGGATGGACCAAGAAACACCAGTGAAAGTTGTTACTACTAGTAAGGCACTTGTTACTAGAAGCGTGGCACTTGTTACTACTAGCTTCTTGTTACTACTAGTAAGGCACTTGTTACTAGTAGCGATGC